GGAACAAACTCAGCCCTTCATAACGTTGGCCTGGCTCCTCCTTGAAATGTGAGCTCAGATGTGCAGAACTGGGACAGAAGGGCAGGGTCCCCGCCACGCCGCCCCCAACCCCCCCCCCCACCAGCAGCGGTCAGAGGTGATTCAGACGTGAGGGTTAAGAATCTCGCAATCACCAACCGAGCTGTGGCTTCTCTCAGGAGCGGGGCAGACATGGAGAAGATGGGGTGCTCAGGCAGTGTCCTTAACCTTCTCCCCACAGACGGGAAGTGACTGGCCCAAGGTCTCCAGCTATGGGAGTGGGGATGGGAGTGAACATGTATTCTGGCCCTTTCATGCTGCAGCTGTTGCCTCCAACCTCAGGAAGAGAAGGTCGAGACAGGAAGTGGTGGGACTGACATAGGGTGGTGACAAACCACGACAAGGATCTGAAGGTTCAGGTTGTCTCCCCTCCCTGCTCTGTAGGCGGAGCCGACAAGTGGACAGACTGGCAGGTAGAAATTTGCACGCAGGAGGTTTATCAGGGATCAAAAGCAGGTGGCATGGGTCGGGCTGGGGCACAGCGTCAGCACTGGCCTCATAAAGGGAGCCCCAGAGCTGGGACAGTCGTTCAGAGTGGTTTCAAATGGAGGCATGTGGCCAGGCCTTTGTACACCCCTCTCCTGTTCATTGGTCATGGGAGGCCGACCGGACTGCCTGGCAGGGCTGGAACCATCAGTGAGGTCGCTCCCTTCAGTCTAGGGTGGTTCCCAGAGAGGGACCCCACAGAGATCCTGCAGCAATGGGGTGAGGGTACAGAATGTAACAAGGGCCGCCGTCTGGGCCGCACACTGCAGCAACCATTAGCAGGAGTGTCGATTAGCAGTTTTCTAACCGCTCCACGCAGCCCTCGGGTTCCGAGAAGGTGCAGCGGGTGAGAAACGGCTCTTCTTGGCTGTGTTTTGGTTTCTGCGAAGGTCCATCATGTTTCCTTGGAAGAAAAAGTTCTGCTGCTGGTTTAGAAAGGCTTCTATAACACCTCCCGTTTCTCCTTTGAGGCGCGGATCACAATTAGAATTTAAATAATTAGTTGTGTACTAATCCAATCTGTCTCTTCCTCGGGACAATAAATTCCCAAAGGGCAGGAACCATGCTTGTCTTGTTCGCTGCTCTATGTCCAGCACATTTACGTAATAGGGCACAAGATCTGTTGAATGAAAGGATGCTCCCAGCATCGGAATAACGGGAAAGTTGCTCAAGCTGCAAATGTCTCAGCTCTGCCTCCAAACACTGGTCCTCTAAGAGGTTCCAAGTTGCAAAAAGTTGGAGAACCACTTCATGCCACCTGTCCCAGGGCTCTGGTGAATGTTGAGAACTGCTGGAGTGCGCTCACCCAGCTCCTGCCTCTACCCAGTATCAGCAGTCCTCAATCCCAGCAGGACTTCAAAAACCAAACATAGACTCGAGCCCCAAGCAATCGTGAACGTACTCCAACCTGGACAGGTGTGCCTGGGTCTCGGATCACAAGATGCAGAACCTAAAACAGATTCATTTGATCCAACCTGAAGCCCAGAGTTTTTAATTCCACATGCAAATTAATTTGAACATACTTTTAAAAAATGCAGATTCAGGGCCTAAGGAGTTGGTGGGAGCGGGAAAAACAAGGATCTAGAATCAGACTGACAAGGGTTCAAATCCTAGGTTGGGTTATGTTGAGCAGATATCTCAATACTGAATGGCCCCCTGGTGCTAAGTGCCAGGCACCTATGCTGTGCTGGGTGTTTTTCATTATTTAATCCACACAACCCTCCTGTGCCCATAGGTATTGAGAACTGAACTAATTTGTTTATGGTTGAGACAGACATTAAAAATCAAAGCTGGAATTTGAACCTGGGTGTAACTGTTAAGTTGGTGTTCCGCAGACTTTCACTTGACGTTCCTTTTTCACATCTGTTCCCACCATGGGAACACCACTCCTTTCTCACTGGGTTGTGAAGATTGAGATATTAAATTTGAAAACATTTGGCAAGGGTGCCTGTGTGGCTCAGTCAGTCAAGGATCTGCCATTGGTTCAGGTCATGATCCCTGGGTCCTGGGATCAAGTCCTGCATTGGGCTCCCTGCTCAGTAGGGAGTTTGCTTCTCTCTCTGCCTTTCCCTCTGCTCGTGTGCACACTCTCTCTCTCAAATAAATAAAATCTTTTAAAAAAAATTTTAAAAAATGAAAACATTTGGCAAAAGTCATTCAGTAATGCAACCTGGAGAAGAACCGAAGACATATTGCCTCTATTTTTATGGCAGAGGAAACTTGAGGCCCTGTGAAACTAATCAACCCTCTCCCCTAATCCAGGGGTAGTAAGTGGCTAAGTCAGGACCAGAATCCAAGTTTTCTATTCCAGCCTGGTCTGTTCTCTCACATTCTCTCAAAAGACTTTAGAAGGAAGAACAAGCAGATAGAACACCACAAAAAATGAAGAGGGTAAAGGGAAAGGGAACATGGAGTTAATCAGGGGAGGCTTCCTGGAGGAGACCCAGTTTTCATTTTTTGACAGCAGTGTTTAGAGGAAGTGGGTGGCCAACAGAAGAGGTCTTGGTTCTTAGTCATAATGTGGTTTCCCTGATATGCTTACTAGAGTTCCCAGTGCCCAGAGAAGCTTGACCAAGATCACACAGCTACTAAATGGTGCTAGTACAATGAGGAGATCCCATTTAACCCTTCTCAGCTGGTTCTGTCTCCTTGGCACTGGAGAAGTGATGAGAAGCAAGGAAGCATACTGTGGTTGGGCAAGGCACACGCTGGGTTCCCAGAGATTCTCAAAAACCTCCCTCTGCAACAGGGGGACCCCATAGCGGGAAAAGCAGCAAGTTGAAATGCTGAGGCCTCAGGGTCAGGCAGACCCTGGTTGGAATCCCGGCTCCACCAATGAAGACCTATGTGGCCTCAGCACCTTCACTTTATACCCCTGGGTCTAAATTCTCTTGTACTTTCAGAAAAATAGCCTCCAAATACCCAGCCCAAGGCCAGGCTTAATAAGAAAAGTAACATGGCCGTTATTCTTCCGCAATGCTGGACCAGCCACAGATGAGTGGTGGCCTGGGCACCCGTGGGTCAGAATAGACTTCTAATACCAACCACTCCCAGAGCTGCAAACACTGGACACAAGTGCCCAGCAGGGTAGGGTAGCTGAGGTCAGGTCCGTGATACAACCCCAGCTCCCTGCTGATGCTAAGAGATGAACCATGACCTTTGCAAATGGAAAAACAGCCCGTTGACAAGAAGTACAAAACAAAACCTTGGTGAACTTTTATTTTTCATCATACAGAACTGGTAGCAAAGCCAAAGATTTCTGCACTTGAATACTAGATCCCCCTCCCGACCCACCCCGGGGGACATTTACAGAGTCATCATGTCCCTTCTAGACTCCAAACCCCAATGCTGGGGCCTCTTCCCTCCTGCCCAGGTTCACTGCAGGGAGGGCTCTGAGGCCCACAGGGGGTGCCGGTTGCTTCCCCATGCCTGCATGGGTGTGAAATGTGGCACACTGACCAGGCTCCTCTCCAACCCTTCTCCAGAGAGGAGGGTCAGAAGCAGCAGCAGCATGTCCCCTGCCTTTCTTCAGTCACCTCCCCGCTGGGCAGAGAGGAGGCACATACTGTCAGAAGAGGGGCAACGGACGTCATCATTCACAGCTTATTTGCTACAGAAAAGTGCCTGGGATCGGTCCTTGGCTGCTTCTGCCTCCAAGCAATCCACCTAAAATCAAGGCAGGGATGGAAACGGGGATGGGGGATGGGGTGGGGGGTTTGTCCTAGGAAGGCAGCTGGGAGAGACTGCCTGCAAGGCCGGGCTATCCCCAGAGGCCTCTTGAGATTCTGCAAGATTTACAGTTTGCTGCTGGCAGGTTGGCCTGAGCAGCCCAGAGTGGACTCAGACATCACAGGGAGTCCCGGCCCCCCGTTTGCAACTATCTATGCAGAGGTCGAAGAGGTTTGGCAACATAGCCATGGTCAGCTGGCCAGTTTGGGCAGGACCCAGACAAGAACCTTGGGGTCTCCTGACTCTGACCCTGAAGCCACCCAGAAAGGCTCACTTGGTGGACAAGGTCTGTGGCAGCGCCGTGGGAGACAGGAGAGTGGGGTGCCGGCCTCTGCAGGGCTGGCGCGGTTCTGGGGAGAACAGCTTTCTCCCGGCGCAGTTTTGGGGAGAACAGATTTCTCCCTGTCCTCCTCTCAGGCATTGACTGTGGCTATCGAGGTGAGGTCCCAAAGAACCTCCCCCAGAAAGAACCAGAAATAGAGCACTGGTAATACTCCCTTCTCTTCGGAAGGCAAAGGGACACATAGACACCCCAAACTCTCTAGAGATAATCTACTTTTTTGAGGGGCTTGGTTTCTCTTCTGGGGCCTCCTACCAGTAGGCAGGGGGGAAATGGGTAAGAGGGTGAAGGGGAGGTCAAAGGTCAAAGGTGCTAAACCAGGGTTAGGGCCACCCGGGAAAAGGGGTGTTCAGACTGCCTGTCAGAACAGGCTTTTGGGGAGCAGAACACACAGTCCCTCTGTGACACTGACTTTCACATTGATGGGTGAACGGCAAGGGAGAGGTTTCAAGATTTGGGAGCAAGGGAGGAGGAGGAAAGGCAAAGCTGCTTGGAGTGTCAGTCCCTGGAGGTACTTGTCCCTCTCCTCTTCGGCCCAGCCAGAGACTTCCCAGGCCAGGAAGGCCACAGAACTGGTGATGCCTGTGGCCCAGACTGCTGGGTACATGCATCTGAGCTCAGCTCATTTCCCTTCCTGAGCCTTCTGCCTCTGAGGTCAGGGGCAGGAAGGAGGGCATGGTCCCTGGGGATCTGCTAGTCCCCTTCCAGCTCCCAGGGGTAGAACTGTGATCCCAGAGTCAGTGCAATGATTCTGTCCATTCCAGTGAGAGAAAGGGAGGGTACGGCTCAGGGGCTGCATGTTGCACACAGGCCCACCTCCAGAGTGGGGTGGGAGGGCCTGGGACAGAGAGGGATCAGGTCCGTCTCCAGAGAAGTCCTTGCAGGGAGGAGGATGCCCCCAGGGGCAGCTGCTCGGGGCGCAGATCCTGCTCGCAGTCAGGTCATGTAGCGGGTGATGGCACGGAGGGCGTAGAGCAGGGCGGCCTGCATGCGGGCCTCCAGGAGCAGCAAGTTCACGTGGACCTGGGGCACAGACAAGGACCTGTGGGCAACTGCTGTCACTCCTGGCCATCCCCAACCTTCCCAGACCACCACGTGCCTGGACCACTCGCCTTTCCTTCTCTCCCATATAGACACCCTGATTGTTCCTAAGGCTCCGAGCACATTGGTACAATGGCAGCTGAGGAATTTCCAGCCCATTCATCCCCAGCCTGACTCATCTCTTTACCTCACAAAATGAAAAACAAGAGCTGGCCCTGGGCACTCATGTTCTCATCTCACCCTCACAGCAACCCCAAAATGCAGGCAGTGTTTGCTCTCACGGTAAAGATAACAAGCTTAGGGGGCAAAGTGACTGGCCCAAGGTCACCATGCTACTGAGTGATACAGTTTGGATTTGAACCCAGGTCCTCCTGGCTACCACTAAGGACCCCATGAGGCACAGTCCCATTTTATAGGTGAGTAAATGGAGTCGGAAACCACACAGTGGAGTAGGACTTGAAGCCAGGACGGTACACCCAGGCGTCCAAAGCAGCAGAAGGCTCTGTCTGGGTTACCATATCGGGTCCTGACCACCCCCACCCCCCACCCAACACACCGTACCTTCTCTGAGTGGCGGAAGTGCCTCCAGAAGAGGTTGTACATTCTTCGCGTGGTCTTCTCGGGGTAGCAGGCCACGGTCTTGATATAGACCTTGAGGTTCCGTTCCAGGAGCTGGTTTACCTCCCCGTAGTCATAGTCATCATATCTGCATGGAAAGGCCCCAAGAGCATCACTCTCCAAGTGACTCCTCTCCCCTACCCCCACCCTAGAGAAGGAGGAACAGAGTGTGGCAAGAAAAAGCAGAAAGTAGGAAGCAAGAAGGAGCTTGGTTCCTCTTAGAAAAATAGCTGATGTCATACATCGCAGGCCACTAGATTGGCCGGGGACCACTCCAAAGAATGTCGAGAATGAGCTGCTGTATTGAGTATGAGCTGTGTGCTGTATGGATGCGTACTCAGAGAATCCTCAGAAATACTAGATATGCTGTATACAGAACTATTACACATAATACACTGCTTTTATCAGGCCCATTTTATAGCTGAAAGGGAGATTCAGAGAAGTGAAGTCATTTGTCCTGGGAATGGAATTCAAACCTAGCGCTGCCCAACTCCAAGGTCATATTCACTATAGGAAAGGCCATGGATGGGACAGTACAAAGGATTTCCCTGGAGAAGGAAGAGAGAAAGAGAAAAGGAAGTGGTACTCATTTCACGGATGGGCAAACTAAGACCTGGAGAAGGTAATTAACTTGTTCTAAGTCAGAGAGCAAGTTGGTGACAAGTCTAGAAGCCACTTTGTCACTCTCCAGCCCAGTAAGCCAGTGAGTCATCAGAGATCTGTGTGGATGGAGAAGATTGGTGGAAAACTGGAGGACAGATTCAGTAGACAAAGGCACAGGAGTGAGGACCATGTTGGAGAATGTGGGGCGGGGGAGACCCTGACCTGTGAGCTGGGCAGAAGCAGCCTGGGCCACATTCTAAGATGCCTGTCTCTCCTCCAACTCCCCAGGACTGGAAAACTGTCAATGACCGGCAAGAGGACACTCAATTAAGCACAACTGAATCTACTCAGTGAAACAGAATTTACAGCTAGGAATACATAAACACACATTTTTCCACAGGGACATGGACCTTTCTAAAAATTTTGGACTTTTTTGATGCTTGGAATAAGCCATTAAATGAGAAAAGCCAGACCATGTGTTCATTAAAATATGCCCAGATTTGATTACATGAGTAAAATAAGTGAAATGAGGAGGGAGAAAAATCCTGTGTTTGTAAATTATGTCTTTTTTCATTATTTGTTTGTGGAAAAAAGATAGGAGAGAACTACTTGACAATAATAAGAGTAGGCAGGATCATGGATGATTTCTATTTCTTTTTCTTGTTATTTCTGTTTCCTTTTTTTTTTAATTTTTAAAAGATTTTATTTATTTATTTGACAGAGAGAGAAACCACAATTAGCAGAAAGGCAGGCAGAGGAAGAGAGGGGGGAAGCAGGCTCCCCGCTGAGCAGAGAGCCTGATGCAGGACTCAATTCCAGGACCCCAGGATCATGACCTGAGCTGAAGGCAGAGGCTCAACCCACTGCCACCCAGGCACCCCTGTTATTTCTGTTTTCTAAATTTACTATAAATCTAGTTGTTTCTCTTTGGAAACATCAAACATACATTTTAAAAAATGTAATAACCATCATAACTCCAACTACACAAAGCAACTACATTAGAGAGAAGAAAGCAACCGAGAAAGAATGTCACAGGATGTGGATGTGGTTGTGAAGTAGCTGAATTTGGGGAAAGGTTTTTTTTTTTTGGTTCCTTAATTCTTTGAATTTCCCACAATGTTATCAGTGAGATTTCTTCAAATAAAAAAAAAAAAAAATCGTTCTGGGGGCACCTGGGTGGCTCAGTCGGTTAAGCGTCCGACTCTTGATCTCAGCTCACGTCTTGATCTCAGGGTTGTGGGTTCAAGCCCTGCATTGGGCTCCACCCTGGGCATGGAGCCTACTTAAATAAATAAATAAACAAACAAATAAAATTGGGGGGGTGGTGCCTGGGTGGCTCAGTCAATTAAGCCTCTGACTCTTGATTTCAGCTCATGTCATGATTTCAGGGTTGTGGGACAGAGCTCCAGGTTGGGCTCACACTGGGCATGGTGCCTGCTTAAAGTTCTCTTTCTCCCCTTCCCTGCCCTCCAAAAAATAAATTTAAATTTTTTTAAAAAAATTGGTCTGTGTATATTCTTGACAAGTAATTTCACACTTAGGGCTCATCTACAAGGACTTAGTGTGAGGCTAGTCAGTGCACATGATGTTTTTAATAGTGAAAAACAATGAACTAGTTTTAACGGGAAAGTGGTTGAGTTAGGCTACATCCATAACGGAACACCACACAGTGGTTAAAAAGCATAAAGGAAGGGTACCTGGGTGGCTCAGTTCGTTAAGCATCTGCCTTTGACTCAGGTCATGCTCCCGGGCTCCTGGGAATGAATCCCACATCAGGTTCCCTGCTCAGTGGGGAACTTACTTCTTTCTCTGCCCCTGTCTTCCCCCCTGCTCATGCTCTCTCTTGTTCACTCCCTCTCTAAAATAAATAAATAAAATCTAAAAAAAAAAAAAAAAAAGCATAAAAAGATCTATTCATCCTGACAAGGAAGGCAGTTCACAATAGATTATTAGGTGAAAAAAAGCCAGTTGTAGAATATATCAAGCATGATTCTATCAATTTAAAAAATCTACTTAAAAAATCAGGAAACATGGGGCTCCTGGGTGGCTCAGTGGGTTAAGCCTGCATGGGGCTCTCTGCTCAGCAGGGGGCCTGCTTGCCCTTTCCCCTCTGCCTGCCTCCTTGCCTACTTGTGATCTCTCTGTCAAATAAATATATAAAAAACCTTTAGAAACAAAATCAAGAAACACTTAGGTAACGAAATGAAAATGTAATTAATCACACACTATCCAGAGACAACCATTATTAATTAACATTTTAGTGTGTAGCCTTCCACACATTTTCCATGTACACACACATTTTTAGCAAAAAAAAAAAAAAAAGGAGGGAAACAAAAGGAAGATTCTGGTCGGTAACCAGCTTTCTTTCTTCTCAATACATTTTGAACAATTTCCCATAGCAATATAAAGAGACCATTATTATAATTTGTAATAGCTGTATACTTCTTCACTGGGTGGATATAACGTTATTTAAAGTCTCCTACTGATGTGCATTTATGTTGTCCTTATTTACTGTAAGAGACGAAGTCCCATTTGGAATGGAAATACACTCTCCCTTCCCTCTCTCTCTCTCACTCTAGGGGGTGGGATTAAAGAGTTTCATCTCCAAGGTTCAAACAGTCCACACATCTAGTATCATTTATAATCAGCAACGAAATAAATTTGCTTTGAAAAACAGTATAGGCAAGAGGAAGGGAAAATGAAAGAACAAAATAGAAAAGGAAAGAAGCTCTTGAGCTCAGCCTGAGGACTTGTGCACATGCACTGGATGAGGGGCCGTGAGCTCACCTGATACCAAACACACAGTGGATGTAATTCCAGATGGCCCTGCGGAGCACGGACGTGTCCACCCCACTGTGCATGGCGATGGTGTTGTAGGTGAGGCTGTAGGCTGCCTGGAACTTCTCATCCAGCAGCTGCCCACCCTCTGGGTAAAGCCGCTGGATCAATGAATAGCCGTGGTCTTCCCAGGTGTAATCCTGAAAAATGTGGAAAGGGGTCAGGGAGTACAATCTTAGGGGCCCAAGTCTGGCCACAGGGACCCCATTCTCTGGAGCACAACTTTGCTCTCTATAACGTCCCTTTCCCGCCCCACAAATCTAACCTGCTGCTTGGTCTGGGCCTAAGAAGCCATGGAGAATCCACCTTGGTGATGGTCTTCTCCCTGTGATCAGGATCCCCTGAGCTTAGGGCACAGATGGGCCCTGTCATGATCTAGGGTCTTCTGTTTCCCTCATGGAATCTTGAAGGAGAAGGTGCCGGACTCTCCAACCACTCCACCCATCCAGCCCCTGCTTGTTTGTAAACCCAGAGTGATACCAAGAAGAGCCCGGAGGGCCTACCTGGGCACGGAAGGTGGGGGGCGCCTCAGCCCCTCGCCGGGTGAAGTCCTCATATCCAAACGTGGGGTCCTCCACAAAGCACAGCATGTCTGGGTGTGGAGAGGGCTCCAGGAAGTCAGCTAAGGATGTCAGAGAGAGGCCACAGTGAGGCAAAGGCATGGAGTACAGGGTACCTACTCGTGATTAATCACCTGGTGGCTGGAGGGAGATGAGGCAGGCCCATGGACCTGGGGATGAGGCCCCTGGTAATAGTAACAGCAACTCTGGCAACACTAGTCATTTGTGAAGCCATTTACTCTGTGCTAAGAGCTTTGCTTCCATTGTCCCATTTACCTCACAAACCAATTCTTCACATGGGAGGAGACGGAGGCCCTGAGATAGGAAGTAACTTATCAGGGGGTCACACTGCTAGAAGGGCTGACAGGTCACCATTCTCACCCAGATCTGACCCTAAAGCCCATGCTCGGAACCTCTTAGAAGAAGTGGTTGAGACACGGCCACCTTCAAAATATAAGCGTTGCCATGCACGGAGCTGCCTACTCCCCAGCAGAGATGGTGTCAGAAGGGGGAAGACCCTGGACCTGGGATGCCTGCAATCCTGTACCTGAGGGAGTCACCAGAAGGCTCTCTGACTTCTCCAGCTCAAAGCGGCTCTCCATCTCCTCCTGGGATGCTCCCTCATCCCGTAATAGGCTCTCCTGCAGCTGCCTCATGCGTTCCATCAAAGCTTCCACGTCCCGGGCAGCCTCAAAGCCCTGGAGGAGGGACCCAGCAGTGACCGTTTACTCCTCGACCCCAGGAAACCCCACACATCCTCCCCACAAGCCAGGCCTTCCTGAGTGATCGCAAAGGCCTACTGCCTCCTGAGGCAGCCATGGAGCTGGGCGGCTCGTGAGGCCTGTGTCTTCTAAAGCAAAGTTTAAGAAGATATGGGACAGGCCTGTCTTCTCTAAGCATCAACTTCCTGCACAGGAAAGGGATTGTTAAAGTATCTATAAATTTATATTAAAACAAACAAGGCCGCTTTATAGGATAAGAGGCAAACTTTGTATCTGTAAAGGGCTAATACCCAGGAGACGTTAAGCCTCTGACACAACATGCTGAGGGACCCACCATTTACTCCTCACCACCGCTGTGAAGTAGGGTTCTTTAGCCTCATTTCACAGATGAGGAAACGGAGTCTCAAAGTCAACTAACTTTTCTGAGGTCCCTCAGTGTGAGACAGGGAAGCAGTGGCTTTCATCTGAGGACCAGAGGCCATGCGAGCTTCCTCTCCCCACAAGACCTGGACCCATCACTTACCCCAGAGCTGTTCAGTGGGTCCCTGCTTGGGGGGCTGCTCTGCTCACTGGGGGGTGAAGGTGCCTGGGGGGCAGGGCTGCCTTCGGAGTCCCCCTCAGGGAGGATGCCACAGCCAAATACGAAGGAGGCCAGTGAGTGGCAGTGGGTGAGCAAGACCAGGGCCTGGATGAGCTCGGCCAGAGACCAGCTGTGCTCGCCTGTCTTCAGCAAGGCCTGGAGAGGAAAGAAGGGCAGACTTGCTCAATGCCTGTCCCTGGGCTAACTGCCTGACATGCCCCAGCCCGGCCCCCGTGCTCCCTGTGCCTCTCTGCCCACGGCACCTGGATGTGCTCCTTGGTGATGAGCCACGGCCGGTGTGCCAGCAACTTGTTGATCTCACTGAGCTTGCGTAGCTTCTCGGGGGCCCGGTGGAGACCAAGCAGCCACTCAGGGTCACCACCAGTCTGCAGAAACTCGGCCATGTGGGAACCCACCAGGTAGGAACACTGGTGGCGGGCAGCAGCCTGTGGAAAGGGTGGACAGAGCCTTGTTCGGGGTGGATACCCCATGGAGGGAAGAATCTCGGGCCTCACTATTGCCAGAGAGGCAGGACACTTAGGTCCTAACCCCAGCTGCACTAGTGTGCTGTCCTCCCGTGGGCAGGTCACCTGACTCTCTCATGCCTCAGTTTTCTGATTCTGACTAAAATGCCTCTCTCTGGGGCACCCGGGTGGCTCTGTTGATTAAGCATCCAACTCCTGATATCTGCTCAGGTCTTGATCTATCTCAGGGTCGTGAGTTCAAGCCCCACACTGGGCTCCATCCCGGGTGTGGAGCCTACTTAATTAAAAAAAAAAAAAAAAAAAAAGCCTCTCTTCAGAATCCAGAATTCTGTGGATGATCAGATAGTTAGGGCTTTCCTCTGCTCTGGGCAGCCTCTCCTCCCAGCCTCTGAAATGGGTTCAAGAAGCGCCCAGCAAAGAGACCTAAAAACCAAATCCCCCCACGTGGCCAACTGTACAAGGGCTGGGCTCTGAAAGGCTTACCATGATGGCAATGTAGTGGCGCCAGGAGCTGGCGAGGGGCCCATCTGTGTGTAGCAGGAGGTAGTGCAGGCGCCAGAAGCAGGTAAGGTAGTCAGGGTGCAGGCCCATCACCACAGCCAGGTTGTCCACCCGCCCCGAGGACATCAGTGCCTCAAGCCTCAGGTGCTGCTCCAGGCTCTCTGGTCCCTCCTGAAGGACCTGCCAAACCAAGGCGAGAGGGTGGGTTCCTGGCCCGCTCTCCGCACCAAAGAGACCAACGCACTCATTGTGTTGGGACTGTAAAAGCCAAGAAACCCAAAATGACCACCATGTCCAAAAAAAAAAAAAAGGAAAATAGGGGAGGAACAGATAATTCATTAAGTGATTTCCTTGCTCAGGTTACAGATCTAGCAAATGACAGAACGTGGATTCAAATCCAGATTACCAAAAAGGCCCATTTATTTCCTCCATTATAAAAGAGGACCGATTATTTACAAATGAAAAAATAAAATATGAGAACAATACTTGAGTTGAAAATTCTGGGCTAGATACAAATAATCAGCAGGTGGTTGTTTGCTTTCCATTTACAAAGGGTGGAGAGGGAACTGGGGGGGGGGTGTAGGTTAGACATTTGTTAACAGCTCATTAACTACCTGGCTACACATTTAGGAGAGCAAACAGGATGACAAAACAAAGCATTTATTTTTGTTCACCGAAGGCCAAAGAAATAGGAGGAAACTTATTTTTAGAATTTTCCTGGGCATGTATTTCAAAGGTGTCCCTGCCACCATCAACCCCATCCTAGAACGTCAGCTGACGGCAAGGATTTTTGTCTGACTTGTTCTTTGCTGTATCCCCAACACCTACAATAGTGCCTGACACAGATTAATCATTCAACAGATATCTGTTAAATAAATGAATGAATGATCTGACTCGGTGGATGAAAGGTATCTCTTGTATTAAGTGACAAAAATAAAGAATATGGCCATAACCCCCTCCTCCCCAAATGTTGTAAACCATGACCTTGGTTCTGTATGACAAGAAGTCCAAGAAACAGTGATAAATGTTAAGGAACAGTGATTACCTTTGTGGGAGGCAAGATTACAGGAGACTAGAGCTTTCTGAGGCATTAAAATTTTTCTTATAATGAATATAATATTACTCTTCAAGTTGAGAAAAAAATGTCATATATGTATAGTCGAGGAGCAACAGTTAACATAGACAGTTCTGTCTTTTTAAAGAATAGGCCTTGCTCTGGGGAATCAAAAGTTTGTTCATTACCTAGCTGCGTCATTATCACTTTATCTCTTTGAGCCTGTTTCTTCCCAGCAACGTCTGATACGCGTGCTTCAGAGAGCTGTTTGTGGGTTAAATGAGTCAGGAACATGAAGCTGCTATTTCAAGAGACAGGAAAAGACCTCCACCCACACAATGTCCCATGTCCTTTCTTCCCAAGAACCAAGAAGTCCTTACCCCCTCCACGCTTACCTCCTCTACCGGGATGAAGGCACTGGGCCCTCGGGGGCCTCGCCGAGCCCGACTTTCCCTCTGCTCCTAGAAGGAATCACATCACGGTTACTGGAGGTAGAAGGGAGGACTAGGAGTAGAGTTCTCTCTTCAGCTTTCTCCTTCTACCCAACAGGCCATGCTGAGCGTTTTTTGTTGTTGTTTTTAAATTTCAAAAAAAAAAAATTTTAAAGATTTATTTGACAGAGAGAGAGAGATCACAAGTAGGCAGAGCAGCAGGCAGAGAGAGAGGGAAGTAGGCTCCCCGATGAGCAGAGAGCCTGATGCGGGGTTCGATATCCCCAGACCCTGAGCCAAAGGCAGAGGGTTAACACACTGAGCCACCCAGGTGCCCTCACGCTGAGCTTTTAAAACCATCCTTTTGGTGCACCCTGCATGAAGGAGTCAGGTGGGAGATAACCACCTGCTGGCAGGTGGAGAAAGGGTAAGCAAGAAGGCTCACCCCACAGGCTGAGTTCTTCAGGAACTGGGAGCCCTAGTTTTGGGTGGGAGGAGCGTGGGGAAGGGAAATATACAGCCACCATGGTGCACATCTTTAGGAGGCCACCCTTTGAGAAGCCCTGGAGATCCCAAGAAACCCCCTCGTTTTGCATCCTGTAGCCAGATTAGCAAGCACCTTAGATTCCTATGGATCCTAATCGAAGCCCCAGCTGTCTTCTATGGTCACTTCTCTATCCCTCCCACCACCAGCACCTCATAGACTATAACCATCTCTTGTCTGGACCCCACCTCCACCCCCCAGCCAACAGTCTCACCCATGGTCTCCCTGCCCCCACTGCCTTGCCCTCTCCTACTGATACTCTCCCAAATTAATGAATAAAGAAAACATCCTGCCTGAACGACACCTCTAGAACGAGGAGCCCATGCAGTGAGTCCATGACACTGGTGGTTTCTAGGAGGGCAAACTTTCTGCAGCCAAAGGAATATTTCTTAAGTGCAAATTTGAGCAACCAGCTTAAAACCCTGCCTCTAGCTCCCATAACCTTCCAGGGAAATGAGAGTTTCAGGCCTACTGTGCTCCCACTGGTCACTCCTTTTGCAAAACTAACTCACAGTCTTCCAGGGTCTGGAAACCTTCTTCTGACCCTAGGCTGTGACCCTACAATTCCTGGTGCTTTTGCTTCTGAAAACATTGTCTTGCGATTGTCTGATTCAGGTCTCCCTACTGCCAGGTCACGTTTTGTGGAGAGTGGGGCCAGGTCATTCATGCCAACCTGTGAGGGTTGGTATGAGAAAGCAGAGAAAGCAGAGCAGAGTAGAGGGATTCAAAGCAGGGAACAGAAGGTTGCTGGTACAACTATTCTAATGCCTCTTTGGACACCATCAGTCACGTACTCACTAAATCTGCTCCTCGTCTGAGAAGTGGGGTTCAGAGAGGATGTTTTATTTATTCATTTGTTTTGGTTAACTGGGAAGGGGACTCTCAGTACTGGCCTCAGAAACAGTTTACCCAAACCAGAGTCACCCTCACTGAACACAGACAGTGTGCCCCTAACTCTCCCCTCCTCATTGGAAACGAGACTGAGTATCCATCCCCAGGTGTCCAGAGGCTAAAGATTATAATTGAACCTTCCTTCTCACCAGGCCAAAAGACCCCAGAGGGAGGCAGAACTCTGGGACTCTCAAAGACTACACAGAAAGAACAAAGGGATCTGGAAGTCCCAGGTCCTGGTACCAATTCTACTACTAACTTGCTGTGTGACTTTGAGAAAATGACCTAGACTCTCTGGGCCTTAATCTTGGACAGAGAAGGTAGCTGGGCTAATTGCTCAGGCCCCTTTCAGCCCACACTTCTGGGTGCTACCAGGGCTGGCTGGTCCAAGTCCAGCACAGAGATCCCAGCAATCTCCAAGTACTCATTCAGCGTCCCTCCTCCCTCACCAAAGAAAAAAAGGTTAACAGCTCTGTCTAGTGGGAGATAAGGACTGCTGACTCCACAACCCGGACCTCTCCCTCAGGGGACCTGAGGACAGATAGAAAACCACAGCCTGGGGAGGGCAGGAGACAGTTGGGGAGGGGGACCTGGAGGGCCCCCCAGGGTACTGGTGAAGCACAGGGAACAGCCTTGGGAACCCCTTCATACTTTAAAACTTGCCTCAGGACTGGTCAAGGCAAGGAACTGATACCTGTGGGTTTCCAGGTGATAGGTCTGGACCCACCATATTCAGTCCTGATGATGATGATGGTGATGATGGTAACAGCCATGATGATGATTGTAGAGTACATTTAAAAGATATAGGCTCGGGGTGCCTGGGTGGCTCAGTGGGTTAAGCCACTGCCTTCGGCTCAGGTCATGATCTCAGAATCCTGGGATCGAGCCCCACATCGGGCTCTCTGCTCAGCAGGGAGCCTGCTTCCTCCTCTCTCTCTGCCTGCCTCTCTGCCTGCTTGTGATCTCTCTGTCAAATAAATAAATAAAATCTTAAAAAAAATAAAATAAATAAATAAAAGATACAGGCTCTTGGCCTGGGATACCTGGGCCCATGGGTCAACTCCATACCTATTATCCGCTACCTATGGAGTCTATAGTTTCCTTACCAAATAATGGGGATAATAGTACCCACTTTCACTGGGCAGTCATGAGGATTTAATGAGATAATGCCCCATAGCCATTACCTCAGTACCTCTGTTGCCAGAACACTTAATAAAAGTCAGCAGTTGGCAATCGTTAACCTCCACCTCCTTGTAATTTCAAATAAGGGCTTTTCAGCAGGAGCAGCACAAAACCCCTTTGAGAAGCTTTTAAAAAGATGCCAGTGCCAAGGTCCCACCTCCAGCAATTCTAATTTAACTGGGTGGGGTCCAGCATCATTTATAGCCAGGGTGGAGGGCCCCTGTTTCCCACCCTTTATCGATCATTTTCTCAAGTGTAAGTCACCGTGCTAAGTGCTTTCCAGGTGGAACCAGAATTAATTTGTTCATTCAACAAATATTTTTGATGACTACAATGCAGGCAGCTAGAGAACAGGAATGAAAAGACAGTCTCAGCTTTCAGAGAATTTATGATCTAACGGAGAATGACAGATGATGAATAGGGTTTCAAAGCACAGATTGTATAAAGTAAATGAAATAGAGCAACGAGAGAGTGTATGATGGGGTGGGGGTGTACCATATATTAGTCTGAGGAGACAGGGAAAGCTACAGGGGAGGTAATCTTTGCGTTGATATCTAAATACCAAATATCTAAATGAGTTGATGAGAAGGCAGCAGGGCCCATAAAGATCTAGGGGGCCAGCATTCCAGCCAAAGGGAACAGAAAATACAAAATCCTGAAAGCAAGACCACATAGATTCCAATCCAGAGCTCCAATACCCTGAAAGCTTCTCTGACCCTGACACCCAGAACTTCAGGGGAAGCAGACAGGACAGGGTCCCACTGCCAAGAGATGATGCCTCCAAATCAGCCCTCTCCTATTACCTGGGGTCGGAAGTCATGACAGCCAATGGTAGGTAGCACCACTGATTACCATCAGCCAGGCATTTCACCTGCTCTTCGATGTCGGCCCGACTCCTCCTCCTAGGGCTCCCATTCTACGGATGATGATTAAGTCTCAGAGGGGTCAAGTCAGGCTTTGCACCTGTGGTTTATTACCAGGAGAAGCTCCTATTCCCTGCCCATGTTCCTGGGGATCCACGGCTCCCGGTCACGGCACCTGGATACTGTTTTTTTTCTCCCTTGGAGGGCACACACTGGATCTTCAGTAACAATGAAGTCAGACAATGCTGTCGGGAGCACTGAGCAGGGAAGGCTTCAGGCAAGTTGTAAAAAGAGGATAATCACCCCTCAAGCTCAGTGCCTGGCGCCTAATTTAGACACTCGCTCAATGTTATCTTTTATATTAGCTCGGGCATCTGCACACGGGTTCCATCTACTCTTCATCAGTTTTGGGGTGGGGGGGTGGGGGTCTCTATGTTGCACCCACGGAAGGATTAAGAGTCCAAAATTTAAGCACCAGCCCACAAGTGGCCAGCCTGAGATGTGAACTTGGTTCAGTTTGGCTTCCAAGGGTTCTGTCCACCACCCACAACAGTCTCTTGGAGCAGCCCCAGACTTTATTCTCGGTATCCTATCCAGAGCCTGCAACCCCCATCCCAGGACTCAGCTACACACACCTATAAAGTCCCACCGCCAGCTGGGAAGGGGCAGAGACTCCCAGCACTCCACTCCTCGGACAGCTGTCTGCAGAACTCAAGTACCTGCCTGAGTTTACACGGGAGAGGGAGACCCCGTAGCCCAAGCAGCCTGCTACCTCCAGCCTTGGAAGGAGAGGGGGTGATCAGAGCCATGGGCTGGGCCCTAGGCTAAGTGCTTTTACACAGATGATCTGGCTGATTTCTCACAACTACCCTGAGGGAAACAGGGCTTATTTTTCCTTCTTCAGAGAGAGCTCACTGAGGCTCCTTTGGAGTCCTGCTCCAGACGTGCACAGCTCATATCTGACTTTGAAGCACGCACAGGTCATGAGGGTCAGTTAAGCCAACAGGGGGTTAAGAGGAGCATTTACTAGGGGCGAAGAACCACTTTGGGGATGTGACCTACAGAGTGTTTCTAGTCTAGCACAGGAGACATGCAAAACGCTGATCACATGACTGTTACATTATAATTGGGATTAACGCTCCAGCCTCTGAGAAGAGGGACTGAAAGAAGGTATGTAGGAAGGACTTATTGGGTGGGGGAGGGAAAGCTTCCCTGAGGAAGTGATGTTTGAGGAAGTGATTCTAGAGCCCAAGAGGGCTCTAAATACATACTACCAGTCCTAGAGTCAAGTCCTGGAGTCCTTGACCCCTTTAGGTTAAGGGCATGTGGTGAAGTGATGGGACTTGAGGGGTCTATTTATCTGGGTGTCCCTTGGGCATCGGGCTCTGTTAAGTTCAGTGCCCTACTGTCTTCTAACGATTCTGCATAAAGCAGGCATCTTCCCAAGGTCCTCTTTTCCTTGAGAGAGAAGAGTTATGCGGAAAGGGTTCAGATATCACCATCTTTCCCTTGCTGACAGGTGGCTTCCATCTAAAGGCCACTCCCTTACAGCCTACCCAGACCACCTGGGGCACTCTCTTCTCCCCAGGCCACTTCCCAGAGAGGGATGGGCCAACTCTCCCCTCAGGCAAGAGGGACAGGTTCAGGCACCCCATTGTGACACACTCTGGGGAAAGGGAAATGACCACATTCTAACGATACCCAGCATCTCTGACTCAGTTACTGTGTTTCAGGCACTGTGCTTTAGCTTTTGCTTGTATCCTGTCATTTCTCCCAACAATCCTCAGAGATGCTATCAAATATCCATGGGAAGAAACTGCAGACGGGAGAAATGATCACTTGGGCCAGGTTACACAGAGAGTGAATGGGAGGACTGGGATATGAACCAGGCACCTCCCCTCTAGTGGCCAGGGATCCTCAGTGATGTGTCCCCCTTCACCAGAAAGAAATGGACTCCGAGTAAAGTGACTGGGTGCCACTGGGCAGAGAAATGACAGGAGTGGGTTTCATTCCTCCCCCTGGAGTTCTCAAACCATGATGTCCGGGAAGGGGTGTCTGGGTGGCTCAGGTCATGATGTCAGAGTCCTGGGATCAAGCCCTGCATTGGCCTCTCTGCTAAGCAAGGAGCCTGCTTCTCCCTCTCTCTCTGCCTGCCTGCTTGTGATCTCTCTCTCTCTCTGTCAAATAAATAAATATTTTTTTAAAAGTATTTTAAAAATTTAGAAACATGATGGGGAAGGATATACAAGCTCACAGAAAACCCAGGACATGAACCATCCACCGCTGGAGGTAAGACTTCCTAGAAACCAAGTGGCTCAGACAAGTCAGCGATTTTCCCAGGGTCACACAGTTAAGGACTAGCACTTGTAGCACTCCCAGGCCCAGCAATACACTTGCTCCAAGCTCCAGGACTGGAAACTAAAACAAGCAAACTCTCTGTAGTGCCAAGCACCCTAGGGAATCCTAGAGAAGCCCAGGCCAAAGAATGAGTTACTTGGTGGGACCAGTGACGGAAGTCTCTCCACAGCCCCTCCTGGGCCTCAATTTCCTCATCCTGGAAAACGAGGCTACAGCGTAGCTCCTATTTTGCTAGTTTAGTCCTGAGGACTCAGAAAAGGCAAAACCCGGAGACCGGCATCTGGTAGATGCTTAAGAAATGGTAAGATAGATGTGTCGGTGGTGGTGAGGGGGTTGGGGAGGAGGCAGGAGGTGTGTCAGATAAGGCCCAGCCCATTCCTAGCTTCACCGCGAAGAGTCCCTGCGAAACAAACTTCTGCGACCCCAGACCACTTAGTAGGGCGCAGCCTAATGCGCGCTGGCCGCGCCCAGAGTTTCTCTCCTTATCCCCCAGCTTCGTTCCGCCGCCAGAACGCCCGCGCTCCCCGGCTCCAAATCGGGGGTGCAGGTGTGGGTGGGGGGCGAGGTCTACCTTCCCTGGCACGTCCCAGGTGCCTCAGTGCCCGCACTGGGAGACTGGAATGGGGACGTATCCTAGAAAGAGTCCTCCGCGCGCCAGCCCCAGCCTAGAGGAAGGGAATCCGCGGAAGGGGGCGGGGAGGAGGAGTGGTCGGGCCGCAGCCGCCGGGATTTGCCTGGACTTGAAGATTCTCCCGTCAAGAGCCCAAACCTAGGATAACCTCGAGAAGGATCCCCTCTCATTGGCCAGGAGTCCGAGGGAGCCAAGGAAGGTTCCACAGCGCCGGGGGGAGGGGGCGGAGAGGGCCGAGACAGCCGGTTGATGCAACCCCATTCCTAGGTTACGCGCTCCGCTTCCCCTCCCCGAGCCCGGGCCGTTGTGGAGGGGTGGGGGGTGCTCACAGACTCAGGTCGGGACAGCCCGAAGCTCGGCTGCAGCTCGGGGCTCAAAGGAAGAGTGGCGTCGCTCGGCCGCTGCTTACCTCTCCGGCCCCGGGGCCGCCGCCGCCGCCGCCCGGGGCGAACGGCAGGTAGCCCTTCAGCTCTGCGCGGCACTCGGAGTCTGCAACGATCATGGTGTGTGCCAGGATCCGGCCACGGCTCGCCGGTGACCCGTGCACCCGAGGGGGTTTGGGACGGACGCACACAGGAAGCGGGGACTGGGGGCCGCTGGGGAGGTTCTAGAGCCCCGGGGTGTCTCTCGGGGTTCCAGAACACTCCGAAAGCCCAGAATCCGGACAGCGGCTTCTCCGCCGGACTCTCCCCTCCGCCGGCTTCTAGAACGGTGAATGGCCTCGGGAGCCTGGGATTGGCCTCGGCCCAGGGGTTTTCACGGCCCGGAGTGCCTCGGAAGTCCGCAGTGGCCACGGCTGCTCGCCAAACCAGCGCTCTTCAGCATCCCCGCCGCGGAACTGCCAGCGCTCGCCCGGCTCTGACACTAGCAGCGCCGCTCAGCCTGCTGCGGTCCCCGGGGGAGGGCGGGGACACAAAAGCCCCGCGCCGCAGCCAATCAGATGCCTGTTTCCCGGGGAGGCGGGGGCGACACTGTCCCCTGGAGCCGACGGCTCGGCCAATCGGCACCGGGAAGCGCCCGGGAACTCTGGGAGCTGTAGTCAGCCCCGGATGAATGCTGCAAACTTTTGCAAAAGGGGTTAGTCAGATTGTTGGCAGTATCAGCCGAGAGTGACAGCCAAGAGAGTCATTAGGGCTGCGTGATGAAACGGAACTTCACCGGGCTGGGCCGGTGAGCCGGGTGTGAAATCCCTCCCAAGTACGTTCTTCAGCTTTTCAGTTCCTGCAGGGACTGGTTAGGGTTAGGAGAGCTGGTGCTAAGTACAGAGCTGAACCCCAGATCTTTGGAGATTAGAGGGCACAGCCTTGTCCCCCTGGCCTCCGGGAGAGCTCCACCTTAAAATGTACCAGGCACGGGGAATCCATCTTAATGGTGAAGTCCCTGGAAAAGCCATTCATCGAAAGTTTCTTGGCAACCCCATGTCTAACCTCAATCCCTATGTCGCAGTTTCCTTTCGTTTGCTTCCTCGGGGCCTCCTCCAGTCTTGTCTTCCATCCCTGCCACTCCCTTTCTAGAAACTTTGAGACAAGGTGTTCTCCTGGGTCTTTTCTCACATCTCTCTCTCTCTCTCTCTCTCTGGCCACTCCTCCTCTGACTCCCTAGAACGTGGGTGTTCCCCAGTTTCTGTTTTTATCCCTCCTCTCTCCAGACACTCTGGCCCTCCCTGATCTCATCCACTTCCTGGCCTTCAGCGCTCCATCTGGGAGTAAGCTACTTCTACCAGCACCTCAGCACCTCAAAATGAATTCGTCTCCTTCCCACAGTCTCTTCCTTCAGTTTTTCTTCAGACCTCCACTTTTTGCTTCCATTTTAAAATCACTGTTTATCCTGGATAGAGAATCATGGGTGGGCTAGATGACCTCCAGTTTTCCCTCTTGAGGCTTTCTGAGACTAGGCTTAACCATTCTAAGGATGACCCTCTGATTTGGTCTCCTGCCTCCAGCTCTTGGAAGAGGGAAATGAATTTCACCCTCTGCTGGGCAACAAAGGCACTTGGGCTGGGGCTCTATTATAACATGTATCCTGCTCTACTTTATATTGTAATTTTCTGTGTACATGTCTTATCTGACCCTCTTGATTATAAGCTCCTTTAGGGCACAGTCCGTGTCTTGACCTCTTTGTCTCTGCCCTATGCCACCAAGGGTGTCCTGCTAATAATATGCCCTTGGTGACTGAATCTTTTCTTGAATTGAATTCCCCTCTAAATTAGCATATGTAAGACTCAGATTTCATTTTTTATTTGAAGATTTTATTTATTTTGAGAGAGAGAGAGAGAGAGAGCATGAGCAGGGGGAGGGGAAGAGGCAGAGGGACAGAGAGAATCTCAAGGAGACTCTGAGCGGAGTGTGGGGCCTGACATAGGGCTCCATCCCACACCCTGAGATCATGACCTCAGCTGAAATCAAGAGTCAGACACCCAACTAATTGAGCCACTCAAGTGCCCCCAGATTTCATGTTTAAAATCTACTCTGTAATGTCAATGTTTAAAGATTTATTTATTGATTTGAGAGAGAGAGGAGTAGCAGAGGAGTGGGAGAGAGAATCTCTAGCAGATTCCCTGCTGAGTGTGGAGCCTGACTCAGGGCTCAATCTCAGGACCCTGGGATCATGACCTGAGCCAAAATCAAGAGTCAGACACTCAACCGCCTGAGCCACTCAGGTGCCCCTGTAATGTCAATATTGAGATCAAAAAGTTTCACTGGCATCTCATCAGCTACAAAATAAAGGTCAAACCTCTAGATTGACATTTTATATCTGCCAAGATCTGCCTCAATCTACCCTTCCAGTCTTATCACCTGCCACATCCATGTTTCTTGTTTGGCCTTCAAACCTTTCTTCCAGTAGTTCTTTCTGCAAATCTCTGCCCACTGAAATCCTACCCAGCATTCAATGCTTTCATGCGTGTTTGTGGCCTGAATGAAGACTTCAAAATGCCACTTCCTACAGAAAGGTTGCTTTTTCAGCTCAGCTGAAAAAGAACTCTTCCACTCCTCCACTTCTTAACACATTGTTTCTACCTCTTTATACCACTGATCTCCAAATTTGATGCAGCCTTGTTATCATCTCGGTGTGTCTTACCCCTTCCTTCTAACTGACAATAGAATATGTTACTGATCACTTTTGCAAAGTGTGGAAATTTGAGCTCAGAAAGGTAGAGCTTCATGTCAAGGTTGTACCATATCTTCTTTTGACTGCACCAGGCTGTGTCAGAGCTCCTTTGAGGTAGTGTCTAACTGCCTTTGTATCCCCCATTAGCAGGCAGTGGGTCCTCAGCAAATATTTTTGAATTAATAAATGAGTGACTCCATAGAATAATCCCTTAGAATCTTCAAGAAAGCCACTAAATCATTCCCATGACTTCACATACCAAGTTAGTGATTTTGTGAAAAGGAAACACAAAGGATACTGATATTCTCAATTTGATGCACTTTTGTGACCCAATCTCCAAGGAAGGAAAGTTCAGAAAAGGCACAGATACTACCATTTACTGGGCTCCAACAACAGTCCAGGATACATCTAATATTTCATGTAACTCTGACCACAACCTGGTGAGGTGTGCTTTATGCCCATTTGACAGATGAGGAAACTGAGGCTCAAGAGGTTTGTCGGCCAGGATAGCTTAAGAATGTGTCAAGTAAGGATTTCAAACCCAGGCAGAAATGACTCCAAAGCAAAAACTATACACACCAAGGACGAGAGAAGGACCTGAATTGTAAGAAGCAGGCTGGCACAAGGGAAGAATGCAAAAAGCAGAATTACAATATATTAATTGAGCACACCCCTCTTTACAGGACAGCCTCCATGAAAAGCCAAGTCACCATCTGACAGTGGCTTAGAGCAATTGAAATTTGAGCAAAAGAATCCAGTGAGAAAATGAATCACTGAACCAGCTCCACTCAGAACAAATCTGCTGGTCAGGGCTCCCGCTTCTTCCCTCTCTCTTTTACTCAGTAAATATTTATTGGCAAGCTAGTGTAGACCCACCTCTGTCCTGGGCTCTGGAAATCCAGCAGGGAAGCCTCTTGCCCAGCAGGGCATGGCCTGGTGACACAGGCTGGGCTTACTCCTTCCCTCCCCCACACCTTGTATTTTTGGTTCAGTTAAGATCTCCACCTCCTGTTGCCATACTCACTCGACTCTTGCATCAGCTATGTTGAGGCCACTGATTGGCCAAAGCTTTTTTTTATTCTTCAATCACATTCCAGCCCTGAAGATACATCTAGATTGGATTTGAAATGTTTTTGAGGTTTCTTCAGCTTCAGACCCTCTCTCAGATTTTAACTCTAATGGGATTCTCATCTGTTCTGTGTTCATTCTTCCTGAGTTAATTTTCTAATCCCAAATTCTGGAATCACTCTGCTATAATCATCTTGTACCCTGACCATACCTGAGGCTGTGATTTATCACCCCATCTGTAATTTTGTGAGCTCTTTTTATTGTTTTCACCGCCCCTCCCCCACCCCCACTTCGGAATACAATTCCTGCCTTTGGGGAGCTTTCAGGAAAGAAACCTAACTCCGACTGGTTTGATAAATCAGACCCACCCTCCATGTCTCATTCACACATTTAATTACTCTGTAGGTAGGCATTGTGCTAGGTGCTTAGGAAGATTCTTCTGGCTGACAGGTCCTAAGCTGTGAAACCTTACAACCAAAAGTGCAATTGTCCTTAGGAGTTGTGCATTAGGGGGTAGGACCCCACAGACTCTAGGAAACGTAGCCAATTGTCTCCAAAGACCACTATCCAGGAGTCAGGCACCTAGGGTGCTAGTTTTTAGCTAGGCAATCCAAGTGACTTTGGGGTTCTTTTTTTTTTTTTTTTTTTTAGCTTTTACAATTTGTTTCCTCATCTGTAAAACAAAGGTACTGAAATGAGCTCCAACCCTTCAGAGCCACTGTCGAGAGAACTCGTGTTGGGCAATGAGCATACTTCAGTTTCATCAATTGTGTACTGTGGACAGAAACTATCAGATTTCAAAAACCTCACCCCTCTTAATAAATAAAACACAAAAACTGACCAGCTGGGTGGTTTGGGATAATTCCCGAAGAATTTCAGTTTGCTTTCGTCGGCTGAGTGAGCCCTCGGCGCCCCCTGCTGGCAACACTCTGCTACAGTTCAGAACGGACTGGGCAAAAGGATGGATTGAGGGTCACCCTCAAACCATTTTGAGTTTATAGGATCGTCAGGTCCCATGCCACCGCCTAAAGGTCCTGAAAAGAGTCCAAGCAACAGCTAAATAAAAATCGTGTGGTTGATGAGGATTCCTCCGATGCCAGCAGAGGCCAGACTCCCTAAAGACCTCCCAGCCTGAATGTACTTCCCGTCGTTTTGGCTTACTCTTTCATCTCACAGGCAGGAAGCTTGAGGGCCCCCAGAAAGTTGATCACAGGGCAGAGGCAGAACCTTTGTCAAGCCCCCACTGCAGGGCCACTTGCACCATTGTAGGTTACCCTGGGAGCCTCACATTCCCAGAAACAAAACAAAACAAAACAAAACTAAACTAAACTGATTTTACTCTTCTGTTCTCTCCCTCTTTCCCTTTCTCCTCCACTCCTAGAAGTCCTGCACTTCCCATTTTCAGACAGTCGCCCTGAGGTCTGTCCTTGGCCCTTGTCACCATCCTGTCCCATCTCTTCCTACTGAAAGACTTCTGTACCCACTCCCCCCAGAAAATAAGTTGGACTTGGAGTCAGGATATAGGGATTGAAGTTTCCAGTTCTAACCCTTTCTAGCTGTGTGAACCTAGGCAAGTCACTTCACTCCTCTGAAACTCAAGTTTCCTGCTGTATAAAATGGGGCAATCAAATTTACCTCGAGGTTGTTGTGAGGATGAGAGCTAATGCATACAAATTCCTTAACAACGCTTGACGCAGATC